GGGAGCGCCGGCGTCGGGCCGCGCACGGGCTGCGGGGCCGGGCCCTGCGCACCGCGGGGAGCGGAAAGTCCCTCGGTCTGTCGCTCTGTTTGTTGGACAAGCCAGTCCGTAACCCTTGGGTACCGCGTAGGTCAGCGCCAGCTCGGCACCGTGTTCCCTTCCCAGCAGTTCCTCTCCCGTTAAAGCCTCTAACACCACCCATCCCTCTGAGTTGCCACCCAAGGACAATCGGCTACCACCAGCTTTATCCCTTACCGGGTGTCCGCAGGGTCCTCAGGCTCTGAGCGTGGCTGCAGGCCCTGCCCCTCGCCCAGAGGCTCGGAGGGAGCCCGGGCTCTCCTGCTGAGTGAGGAGCAGCCTCCTCCCAGCCCCCATCCCCAGCTGATGCTGCTTGCACACCTGATTGCCAGGTGCTGCCAGCCCGTTGGGCTCTTGCATTCCAGTTGGGATCAACGCTGAAGTTGCAAGATGAACTCAAGACAAAAGAAGATGCGTCTTTTGGTCGACTCCAGTCATAACCTCCAGACTGCCTTTACAGTGTTCAGGACTGTGCCCAGAGGGCTGTATTAGGGCTGAGATGTCAGAGTGAAATTAAAACCTGCTCAGTTCAGACAAGAGGCACCAGGAAAGTGACCGTGACTCAGTACTAAGCTATTTCTCAGTCCACGGCAGAGCATTTCTTGAGTTAACATCAAGAAGGTCTCAAAGAAAAAAAACCCGTCATTATAGGCTATTCATTATCCTGGAATTCAGTTTTAGGAGTATTTTGCTGTATCACTCCCATTCAACATTAGTCACAGCCAAATATCCAGTGCAGTTATTGGTGTAAAGCTATAAAAATAAAGTGGCACTGTTACCATATTGGTTTATTTCATGCCGACACACAGGGCTCATGCTTATCTTTATGGCCAGCCTGCGAATGGCTTAAATTTAGAAACTGCTACACTGTTTTCTCTCACTACAGATAAAACATCTGAAAATTTTGTGTAATGATTTGTGACTAGTGGGAGTGAAAGAGATGTTTTCAACTTGAAATACTAAAACTAAAAAATGTTGAAAACTTTAAAAAAGGATTCACAACTGCTTCCAGCAGCAGTCAGGCACCAGGCTTTGACACAGAGTCAGAGAGTCAGAATGCTGGCCACCAGACCTCCCTCTCAGTGTTCCTCAATCACAGCTTGGAAAGCTTTGTGAGAAAACAAGAATCTGATTAAAACTATTTCCTTGATATGAGGTGTACCAGGAAAAGGATGAATCTGAATTTGAAATGAGGTCATGCTGTCAACCAAAATGATGATACAACCAGGCAGAATGAAGGTAGCAATTCTGTTGATGTTTGTCAACAGATAAAAATGCTGCTAAGTAGATGTTACAAGCTTGAGATTTATTATTACAGCGTCATGAAGCCCTCGCCAGAGCATGACTGTCTCAAAGCCACATTAACAACCCCTCATTTTCCATTAAAATGTCTGTTACAGGTTAAGTGATAAAAATTCTGTGACGTATGTATGGTTGGTTGTATTTCTTTAATGAAAGTTTGCAAGGTGCTGTAGTTACATTTTTCTTATACATAGGAGCCTGTTTTGCTTCCTCATAGCTTTACTTGACTCTGGGTAGAATTTTCTATCCCACTTGTCTTACTTTGATTCTGTTACTGTGGAAACTTCTAATAAAACTTGATCCAGTCACTCTCAAGAAATACTGCAAAGAAATACTAAATGTCAAATTTAAAATTTTATGGTTGTTTTAATGTGAATTGTTGTTTCTTAATGCTTTGAAGCAAAGACTTTAAACTGGGTAGGATCTCACTGGTGGTTGAATTGTGATAACAATATACTGTTGTGATAAAACTAATTTCACTTATGTTTATGGAAATAATTCTGTTACTGTGTGAAGTATTAAAAGAACACCATGATAAGAATCTCAAAAGCACCAGAAAAAAACATAAGGCTGAACTGGGGCTGAAATTGTAATGAAGTGGTAATACATTACCCTGTGAGCAAAACCAAAACTGTGCAGTAAGTGTAACGTGTGCTATCAGTCTCACATCCTGAATGAGACTGGTTTCAGTTCCTTCCTTCCTTCCTTCCTTCCTTCCTTCCTTCCTTCCTTCCTTCCTTCCTTCCTTCCTTCCTTCCTTCCTTCCTTCCTTCCTTCCTTCCTTCCTTCCTTCCTTCGCTACCTCCCTCCCTCCCTCCCTCCTTCCTTCCCTCCTTCCTTCCCTCCTTCCTTCCCTCCTTCCTTCCCTCCTTCCTTCCCTCCTTCCTTCCCTCCTTCCTTCCCTCCCTTCCCTCCTTCCCTCCCTTCCTCTCTCTCTCTTTCTCTCTCTTCCTCTCCTCCCTCCCTTCTTCCCTCTCCTCCCTCCTTCCTTCCCTTCCTTTGCTGTCTGTCTAGCCTGCTGCTCCCTACAGAAGCATTGTTCCTTTACTATCCTAAGCAGATGCAACAAGTAAAGCACCCTTGATCTCTTGGCTATAACGTAAACATTCCAGTGCTATCAGTTCACTAGCTGGAAAACTTGCTACTAGTTAAAAAAGAGCTTGCTGAAGAAAAAAATAAAATCAGCAAAAATAAAATTGGCTTCATCCTTGCTCAAACCAGGACAGGGGAGACCTCATTGCCCTCTACAATTACCTGAAAGGAGGTTGTAGGGAGGTGGGTGTTGGCCTCTTCTCCCAGGTAAATAATGGTAAGACTAGAGGAAATTGCCTGGAGTTGCAGCAGGGGAGGTTTAGATTGGACACTAGGAAGAACTTCTATACTAGAAGAGAGGTCAGGCACTGAAACAGCCTGCTCAGAGAGCTGTTTGAGTCACCATCCCTGGAGGTATTAAAAAGCTGTGTAGATTAGGTACTTCAGGACATGCTGAAGTGGCTGAGTTTGTGGGGTTTTTCTGTGTTGATGGTTGGACTTGGTGATCTAGAGGTCCTTGCCAACCATAATGATTCTGTGAGTCATCAAATGTTACCAAAATATTTTTATCAATGCAATGCTGCTTGTGTTCTGTAGGACTAATAACCTATTTCCATGGAGAATGTAATTTCTTCAGTCTTTGCAGCTTCAGGGGGTAGAAAGAAGGGAAAGAATGTTTTGATCCTAAGTGAGTTCCTGAAAAAGTGCTGTTCAAATCCAGGTGCAAATAATGAATTACAGTGGGAAGAAAGGATCTCGTTTTTAGGAGTGAACCCAAGTTCCTTACTGCTGCAGAGTGTTGGGAAATGGAACAGGAGTATTAAAGAACATTTAAGCTTGTCAGCTCCACCAAAGCTTCTTTAAAAACTTTTTTCTTGCTGAATTTCAGTCGTGTCAGTACTGCACAAGCCTTCCCTGAAGTACCTCCTTACTGCTTCTTGCCACAGCCCCTGCAGAGTTTACTCCACTGCTTTCCCTGTGTTCAGAAGCCAGGAAAAAGTTCTTGCATTGAGGATTTGCTCAGAAATTACTTTGTAAGATTTTGGGCTTTAGACTCCATAGGGGATGCTAATTTTCACTTCTAGCAGGCCATTACCCAGAAGAAACCTTTTTCCTCAATTCTAGAGTTTAGGGCAAGAGTCCTGCTATAGTTGTAACCCTTGTCAGTAGAAAAAAAATGAACTGTTTTAAGTTATATATAATATATACTGTATCTGATCGGTATGAGGCTTGTGTAAGACCTACACAGAAAATAATTTAGCATTTAAGCAACATCATTTTTAAATGAGAGAAAGCCTCAAAACTGTGGGAGCAGGTGACCTATTCTGACCAGATTACACTATAAAGAGAAGAGTCTTTATGCTTTAGCTTCCATTAAACACTTCTGGAAGTGACCAGCTTCTAATAATAATTCAAATAAAACATTGTATAGAGCTTGTCAAAACCATTACAATGACAAACAGTTTTTCCAGTAAAACATGAACATTTTACAATATTTTTGCTATGCTCCATAGACTAGAAAGGGCAGCTTTTAAGTGGCTCCTGGTGTTGCATGTCCCTTCCCTACCTCTTCCTTACTCCTCTCTTATAACACCTCTGCTATTTAAACTCTGTCACAGGGGAAGAAGTACTAAAATGACAGATGATCAGCCTCCCCTTAGGCTTCCAAGTAATTGTAGATTACAACAGTTCCTCGAATGGAAAGCCTTACAGTTTCTTAAGTTTCACCTTGAATTATACTGAACAGTTTGATGAATAGAATGGAGAATTTTGCAAGGTGCTACATATGTTTATAGAGTCTCTATATATGCTGTATATACTGAGATAAACTCTTGACAAGGTGCTGGGATATTTCATCTAAACAGTGTTCCTACCTAGAAAGGTTGGACCAGATGCTGCTTGAGGTCCCTTCCAACCTGGCATTCTATGATATTCATTAAAAGCTTAGTGCTCTGTCAAGTTGAAGTGGATATTTTCATGCCTTGAACATAGTTTGACTCCTTTTCTTACTGGTGTGTAATTATAATCCCATCTCTGTGCTTACATGTTTTCTTCTCTCCCCATGCAGACATTACTTCCTTGAAATAAGGCATTTTTTTCTTATTCCAGGATGTTACCAGTGGACAGCAGACTTGTAAATTTACAGATCTACAGACTTCTTCAGTGCGTTCACCAAAAAGACAAGAAGCAAATAGAAAAACTGGTTCAGAATGGATTTCCAAACCTTATTAATTTCACTGAGCCTGTGGAAGGATATAGTGCCCTTCATTTGGCCTGCATAAAAAATGACACTGACATGTGCAGCTTCTTGCTGGAGCAGGGAGCTCATCCAGATGTCCAGGACAAAATGGGACGTACTCCAGCAATGAAAGCAGCTGAGCTAGGCCATGAGTTGGTTTTGGAATTATTAGCAAAAGCTAAAGCAGACATGACTGTTGTGGATAATGAAGGGAAAGGTAAGTAAAAAGGAAACCAATCCAACAGAAATACCATAAAACAACCCCTTACAGTGTTACACACTTGCTAGGTGTGCTGTGTCCAATCTGTAGAGAGAACCATGGTTGAGGGTAGTCCCTACAGCTCAACACAAGCTATTGGTCAAAAGAAATGTGATGAAAATGAAAATTCTCCCTGAACAGTCTAGGCCTTTAAATCATAGGTCCGTCCACTGCACAGCTGAAAGATAACTTCTGATTGAGAATCACATTCCTCCCAAGACCTACCACACATTCAATTCCAGGTTTGTCCCCAAGTTCAAACACCTTAAACTAGAACGTTTTTTGGATGTATATACCCTAAAAGAAGCTGATGGGTCCCTATTGAAAGAGTTTGTCCATTCAGTTGTGAAGCTTCCAGCCTGAGTAATGTTCTTTCTTACCATTCAGCATTGTCCATAAATCCTACTGTTTTTCTTTGCAGGTGTTTTGTTTTACTGCATTTTACCTACAAAGCGTCACTACCACTGCACACAAATTGCCTTGGATTATGGTGCAGATGTTAACAACTGTACTACTAGGGGGAAGCCTTTACTTCTACAAGCCTGTGAGCAAGCTCATGATATCCAAGAAATATGTCTGAATTTTTTGGAAAGAGGAGTAAATCCCGATGCAAGGAACCCAGTATGAATATTTCTATAACTAAGAATGTTATATATACAGGGGTATAGAAAAGTTACCAGACAATTAGAATATATGACCTTAAATCTCACATTAAAATAATAAAGGAGTGGTGAGTACTTAATTCTGTGGCCACGCCTATTTCCTTTTTCTGTACCACCCTCTTTCTGCAGGAGCAGGAATTAATGTCTCCTGCTTGAACCATGAATCCCGATTTAGATTTTTGTACATTAGAGTGCAGATTTTTTACAAAAATGAAATATAACTGGGGCAGTTCTTGCAAGGTGCAGTTCACTGTACTTCAGTGGAGCAATGCTGACGTGTACTTTGTCTCAATGTGCCCTAAGACTTTCAGAGTTGAAATAATATTGATGATCTCCAGAGGTCCCTTCTGACCCCTAACTAACATTCTGTGATTCTGTAAAAGGTGGGTCCAGCATGTAAAATCTGACAGGGAATCAAGGCAGGGAGAAGGCATAAGAAACCTTTCTCTTTCGTACATCTTAGTAATTTATTAATTTAATTTATTGATTTAACAAAGACCTGAAGGGCTGAAGCTCTGTCCTGTTGTTGATCAATTTAAAGAGCTCAGGCTTTCCTTTAAAGCTACCTATGGCTTTTGCCTTGTTCCTAGTTTTGCCATATCCTTCCTGGCTTGGAGTTATAGCAAAATCAATGTTTGGACATCCTTATCCCTACACTTCACACTTGTGTCTGTTTCATGCACTCAGGGTAACTGAAATATTAAAAAACTGTTTTTTTGGGGGGGTAATATGATAGGAACATATCTGGTCATATAATGGGAATAGTTTCCTAGGCCCAGAGAAAGACAGATACCAGGGAAGAACACATGCTTCAGTGGAACCTCTGCACAGCTCATTGCTCTCTGTACCCCTCTGTAAAATAGCCAGTCAGATATTCTAAGTGTTGCCTTGGGCCAGCATATTAATAGCAGGTGATGCCTGATCCAAGATGTGCTGTTCTTGGGAAGGTCACCAGATCTACCAAAGTCAGCCATTAAAAAACAAACAGGTACTGCTAATCACAAACATACACTATTCATCTAGAAAAAGAGACAGCACTATGAACTTTTTGTCTCAAAACAATTGTGAAATTCGCAAGTTGCTCTGCCTTCCTCATAGCACTCCTCCAGCCACAGCTTCTTATGCTTTTTCATGATAGAGGAGGTTTTTTTGTTAAATTCTGCAAACGTGTATGACAGCATGCACACAGAATAAAGTACTCCTTAACTAAGGAACTGGTATTCATGGGGACCATTCAAGGGACTCAAGCTACTAAAGTACTTGTGTAGCTGGGATTTGATTACACATATTTTAGCAGCATTTTGTCCAGATTCTCAAAGTTTACCAAGTGTTTTAAAAACTATTAGAATTCTTTTTTTGCAATACCTAAAAGGAGACCTTCAGTTTTATGACACCCTGCAACAATCAGATTGTACTGTTCCAGCCTGAAGTGGCATGTGAAACAAATTCTGAATGGTTTTCTTGGTGCCTTGCAGGCTACAGGTCGCACAGCCTTGATGGAAGCTGCAAGAGAAGGTGTTCTCGAGGTGGTGCGTGGTCTGCTTGAGAGAGGAGTCGATGTCGACCTGTTTGACCTTGAAAGACACAGCGCTGCACATTTTGCAGCCAAAGGTGGCTTTTTTGAGGTATCATTGTTCCTGGTATTAAAGCGTTGCTGCAAAGCCGAACCTGGGTTATTTTTTGAGGTTGTTTGGTTTATGTTGTTTGTTTTTTTTTTCTGTTTTGAGTCCGGTATCTCAGCTATTCAAAGCATAATAATCAGCAGTCAAGAACAGAGTCTTTTTAAGTATCAAATGGAATCCAGCAGTGATAGAATCTCTCTCGTAATCGCAGAACCTTTTTTGTCAAGGTACCTCTAAGTGTGTGTGCTAGTGGGCTGTCTGGAGTGAGGAGCTCCATTGCAGAGTTTGTTTCTCCCAAGATGTAGCATGTAATAGCTGTGTAACATGGATGAAGCATTACCCTTATAGGAAAGGCAGAGGCAAACAGCTGCAGGTGGACACTTTCTCCCCCTATATCATCTTCAAAGTACATAAAATTGTGCCATTTTGATGGTGCACGCAACAGGCCTGCAGTGGGGTGGCAGGAGTGAAGATTGTTCTCAGTGTCTACAGCTGAACAAGGTTTCTCTTTCCTCAGTTAAGCAAGCACAGTACTACAGAAAACTCGAACATTACATGCACATTGATCAGTTGGGCATGGGAGAGATGTTCACTATACAATCTGTGAATATGTGACTTTTCATTTATTTGTAAGTCGTTCTCACAGTTCCTCATCTTAAAAACTGTCTTTGTTTTTCTAGATTTTGAGGGTTATTTCATCTTATAATGGAGACTTGGGCCTGATTGCTATGAATGGTAACACGCCACTTCATTACGCTGCAGAGGGAGGATTTTCAATTTGCTGCAAGTTTATAGGACAAAGAGGTACATTAAAAATAAGTTACTTTACAACAAAATGTGTATTCTCGTTTTGTGCCCAAGGAAATAATTCACTCAGGCATTTATCAAAGATTTGTCTCTCTGAGATATATGCAATTCTCACCAAGCAGCACCTAACATAGGCTCTTATGAATTACTTCTACTAATATGGCTGAGATAAAACATTCCTTAAAGAAAGCAGAAGAAACATACTGGATTTGGATAATATGGACTGGACTATATTAAGTAGCTCTGATTTCATTTGTTTTTAGAAGGATCATGTTGAAGATTCTAATAGCAAAAATAATTTTTGGTTGCTGATCATTAAAAAAACCTGATGTCAGTGTAGCCATGGAGAAAACTTGGCACATTTAAACATACTCCAAAGAAGCTATGATAATTTCCTAACTTAACCAGATAATTATATCACTTCAAGCTTTGATTTGAGAGCACCATGCAAAATCCTATATTCTGTCCTTCTGGTTCAAACGTTTAACTAATGGAGTGGTCCATGGTCAAATTACAAGGCTGGGGTATAGAGCAGTGAGTGACATTTTAATCTGAGTTTGTTTCTTCTTGAAGTTGCTCACTACTCTTAGTAAAAATGTAACATTTTCACAGGATTTCTGCCTTTCTATACATATTAATGTATATGGGACAGGTTGCCCAAATAAATCTCTTTGGGAAACAAATGCAGGCAGCACATGGCAGACCTTCCAGTCTGAGGTCAATGATGCAAGTCCATGTATTATTGCTTTTTATAGTTAAGACAATATAAAATTGCAGACCTGTGGCAATTGGTTGCATGTATATTACAAGTCTCTTCTTACAAAATCAGTAATTGCTAATTCCAATGTTTTATCAGCAAAATTGTGTCCATATTTTTTTAGGCTGTGATCCTACATGGAAAAACCTGTTGACAAAGACTCCAAGAGCTGTTGCCAAGGAAGGCGGTTTTAAAGCAGCAGCAAAAGAACTGCGTAAAATTGAACGCACTTTCAAAAAACAGTCCAAGCCTGGGGCTCAGGACCTCAACCCCCGCTGGGCACTGAGGCTCTATGACTGGTCCTTAGAGCACCAGGCTGCCCTCTATAAGGCATTTGAGGCGGTTGACCAAGGAGATGGAACAGTAGCTAAAGATGATTTTATATCAGTTATTCAGCAGCATTGTGCCTTTGTGGATGCTGAACAAATCACAAGCATTGCTGAAATGCATGAAGGAGAATTGGGAATCAAGATAGAAGAATTCTTTAAAGGCTCCAAATACTTGCAGAAAAGCTATCTTATAACAGCCTTTGGACCCAAAAAGAAGGGCAAGAAAGGGAAGAAACAAAGAGGCAAGAGAGGTGTCCCAGTCCCTGTGCCAATTTGTGTTATTCCAGAGAATGAATTTCTTCATGGGGAAGATGGCTTCCCTGCCTACATGATTGAAGCTGTTCAGGACATGGCTGATACCCACCATCATATCCGAGACCACCCATCCGCCCATCCTGTGCATGATGACCGTGCCTGGTATATAGATGAGCCAAGGAAATTGTACATGAACATTAACTACCTTGTCAAAGCAGGAGACATTCTGTCTCTACAGAAAGCATTTGAGGAGGGTGTGCCAGTAGACATAAAAGATAAATATTACAAAACACCTTTGATGACTGCATGTGCCAGTGGGAACACAGACATTGTGCAGTACCTTCTAGAAAAGGGGTAAGGTAATTTCAGAGTTGTTTGGGTGTTTTTGTAATTGCTATTTTGGAAGGGCATTCGAAAGCGTACATTTCCAGTAGACATCTGGTTGCAACAGACTATGGTTTGGTTTTTATTTACATATAGATTAATATTAAAGGTAACCCTTCATTACAGAGGGTTAGTTTATTAATTTTCAAACTTACAGTAACAGGGATGTAGAAATACCCAAGAGGTCAGTTTGCCAGGTCTGAAAGTTTTGGTGTCTGGGCTGTTGACATTTTGGTCAGACAGAGTGCCTTAAAATCCAGTGTACTGGACATTCAGTTAGTTCATACACACATCTCCAATAGTGCACCCTCAAAACTGAACTCGCAAAATCAAATAGCTGATTCTGGGGAAATCTGGCTTGAGTGACTTGTCTGAAACCACCAAAGCAATCTCGGGCTTCCCAGTTCCACATGCCAAGGCCTTTGTATGCAAATGTTTAAAGGGGATAAAGCCTTATGATCTTTTTCCTTTGCAGCTTCAGAGGGCTGATGCAGCAGGATTTATGCCAGATAGTCTGTTCCTCACTTTAGAAGTGCTTCAGCAATTTTGTAGCCTACAGACACATTGAGATTTGTGAAAAATCTTAATAACAGCTTAAAAGTGAAAACCATTTAAGAATGATCAGTCATGCTTGTGTAAAAGCATAATTTCTTTTTTTTTTCTTGTCAGACTGCTGTAGTCCTACAGTCATTCATATAAATGCTTAAAAGAACGTTTCCAAAGTTATTTATATTAGCTTTGTTCTCTAGTTATTGCTAGAATTCATTTTAACATTAATTTCTAAGGAGAAGTGGCTTTAGCCGTTGCTCCAATTCATGCAGACACTTAACAGCACATGGATCTTTACACACCCTGGTAATTACAGTGACATTCCTGAAGCATATGGAAAGCTGTGTAAATGTGTATATTCCAATCTTCCAAAGATAAGGATGCAAATGCTGGCAAATTAAAATCCACTGCTTTTGTCAAGTCTTACTAGGTAGCCCTGAAGTCACATCTCATGATATCTAGCAGATCCAGAATGTAATAACTTAGTTTATACAAATAGTATCAATTGTGAGATTTTTAGATCAGCAGAAATCAGAAAATGGAGACAAAAGTTCTCAGTACAGTGTTTAGCTTTACATGTTTCGCCAGCATGCAGTTTCAGACACTTTCCATTTGGCATGGGGGTTCAAATACTTTTTACAGTATAAACTATTCAGTACAATACCACAAATCCATATCAAACAGAAAACAAAACATTTTTCCAAAGCTATAAAAAAGGCTGAGATTTAAACATAAATTGGTAGTATCTACTTTCTATCTTGTTCCAGAAAGATTCAGAAATAAATTAAATTTGGATTAAAGGCAAATTCGATGCTTGATCAGGAGAAAATGCTGAAGAATTTTACATCTGTGCTGTGCTGTCCCTGCTCCCTTTGATCAGTTTGTTTCTGTTAGAATTGAGTCAGCAGAAAGGATTCAGGGCCAGACAGAGTAATTGTTTTGGCATGGATGTTGCGTTGAGAAAGGAAATGGAGTAACTGGGACTACTTATTTTAATGAGAAATATAAAGGAAATTAAAACTACAAACTAATAAACCCTAATGGTTAAGCATCTGAATGATAAGAAAGCTAAAAATGGCAGCTCAGGGGAATCTACCATGATAAGATCTCATCAAAGGTAGGATTCTGAATAAGATTAAAAATTTTAAAAAGAAAAGACCAGATTAATGTGTTCTTTTGATTTAGATTTAAATACTAACCATCTGACTCAAAGAGCAAAAAGCCAGCCCTGGAAGCAGCTTACCTTCATAATTTTTCTTCCTTCTTCCTCCTTTCATGGTGTTTGGAAAGACATCAGCCCTTTGTCCCTAGAGAAAATGGGGCAGTGACCCTAATTCAGTTCAGGACCTCTGAGCTGTCCTAAATACGACACAAAGTAACTCGCTCTGCTCCAGTACTGGGGAATCCCCTCATGAGGTTTTGACCCTGCTGAGCCTCTATGTGGCACACATGGAAGACTGCAGATCTGGGCATGGTCATGGACTATACTTTCTTTCAAAAATATATATATATTTTTTATATACATTATATATTCCTAAATACGACACAAAGTAACTCGCTCTGCTCCAGTACTGGGGAATCCCCTCATGAGGTTTTGACCCTGCTGAGCCTCTATGTGGCACACATGGAAGACTGCAGATCTGGGCATGGTCATGGACTATACTTTCTTTCAAAAATATATATATATTTTTTATATACATTA